CCCTGCCACTCGACTGCGCGCCCTGCTGCCCTGCCCCGCCATTCCCCGCCAACCTCATGGCAGCCGCAAGCCTCGCACTCGCACGGCACGGCATGGGCTGGCCGTGCTGGCCTGCTGGACTCAGGCCAGCGTTCCACCCGCCGTCGTGCCTTCCCCCGCGCCCCTCCCGTGTGCCTGTGCCTGGAGCATGAGTGGCATGGCGTCGCGCGGGGACGAACTATACCGACTACGTACCGCTAAATCCGCCATACTGAGAAGAGAAGGAGAACAAACAATTGAGCGTCGAGGAAAACCAAAACTGCGCTTTCGCCAAGCGCAAAGCGGCGGAAAGCTCTTGCGACACATTTATATATTTTATTTGTCGTTAAGTTGAAAACGATATTTACTTTCAATACTCATGAAAGGATTTTTCAACACTACTTATTAAACGAATCTAACTTGCGGCATAAAACCTGTTTTAAAAGTGTCATTGCAACATGTATGAAGTAGATGACGGTAAGCGGCTTGTTTTGACAAACTTTTGCTTTGTGTTAGCAGTTGAAATTTTGATCTCTTGTTGTTATGTCTTTAATTTAACTTCGTGTTATTATTTGTGATTTCTTTCTTTCATCTAAATCTGTACTTTTCAAGACTAGGGAATTCAAAGTGTGCACCAACCTTTGGCAGATCTTAGGTTATGGCTACATGTTTTATCTTTGGCATTTACAGATAATTTTGAGGATGAAGAGCTGGAGGAAATATCTTCAGAGCTCTGGCAAGAAGCCTGCTGGATTGTCATCAATGCCTACTTTGATGAAAAGGGTTTGGTGCGGCAACAGTTGGATTCTTTTGACGAGTTCATCCAAATGTCAGTCCAACGTATTGTTGAAGACTCTCCACAGATTGACTTACAAGCAGAAGCCCAGCACACCTCTGGAGAAATTGAAACACCTGTAAGAGTTGTATTTCTCTTGGTCATGTTTGTGTGCCGTCAACCATTAAATTTGCTAACTTGTACTTGCCAATAATTTGTTACAGCCTCGGTACCTTTTGAAATTTGAGCAAATTTATTTGTCAAAGCCAACTCACTGGGAAAAAGATGGTGCTCCCTCTCCCATGATGCCTAATGAAGCTAGGTTAAGAAATTTGACATATTCTGCCCCTCTGTATGTGGATATCACTAAAACAATTGTAAAAGAAGGAGAAGAACCTATAGAAACTCAACATCAGAAGACGTTTATTGGTAAGCTCTTAAGCTGAATCTTGTTACTGTGTGATTCATGTCATTATTCATACCAAGTTTAAGATAATTTGAACTTTTCACCTTGCAGGCAAAATTCCCATTATGCTCCGGTCTACTTATTGCTTACTGAATGGTCTGACTGATCGTGATTTGACTGAATTGAATGAATGTCCTCTTGATCCTGGTGGCTATTTCATTATTAACGGTTCTGAGAAGGTATAGTGGACATTTCTTATCTTTTCAGCACTCGAAAATCTGGCATAAACATTTAATGTATTTTTTCTGGTTCAGGTTCTTATTGCCCAAGAGAAAATGGCAACCAACACTGTCTATGTGTTTTCTATGAAAGATGGAAAGTTTGCATACAAATGTGAAATTCGTTCATGTTTAGAACACTCCTCTCGACCCACATCAACATTGTGGGTCAATATGATGGCACGAGGTGGACAGGTAAAAGATTCCCTCTCCCACCTTTTGATATACGAGTGTCCCTCGATTTATTATACTATACTGTCACACATAGATACTGACTAATATTGTTATTTTTAATATGTGCTGTAGAGCATCAAGAAGTCAGCCATTGGGCAACGTATCATTGCTATTTTGCCATACATCAAGCAAGAAATTCCAATCATGATTGTCTTTCGTGCTCTTGGGTTTGTTGCTGATCGTGATATCTTGGAGCATATTATTTATGATTTTGATGATCCAGAAATGATGGAAATGGTAATCTCAAGTCCTGTTGAATTGCTTTTAATGGTTTCTACGAATTTGAATTCAATCTTATTATAATCATGTTCCTAATCATAACATTAATTCAGGTCAAACCATCTTTGGATGAAGCTTTTGTAATTCAGGAACAAAATGTTGCATTAAATTTTATTGGTGCTCGTGGTGCCAGACCTGGTGTTACAAAAGAAAAACGTATCAAGTATGCCAAAGAAATTTTACAGAAAGAAATGTTGCCTCATGTGGGTGTATCCGATTTCTGTGAAACAAAGAAAGCCTATTTCCTAGGGTGAGTGGTTTCGTCAAAGAACTCTTTGTTAACAGCTTGTTAACAGCTTGAAGAAAAGTTTTAATTCAGTATATGTAACTCTCAGGTACATGGTACATCGGCTACTCCTCGCTGCTCTTGGGCGTCGTGAATTGGATGACAGAGATCACTATGGAAACAAGCGCCTTGATTTGGCTGGTCCCCTCCTGGCTTTCCTCTTCCGAGCGTAAGTGTTACTGTAGGATCTGGTTTGATTGAAACTTTATTTAATCGTCAGCTTTTATGTCTAAATCAATTTCTCATACTGCTTTCCTCTTCAGGCTCTTCAAAAACCTTATGAAAGAAGTAAGAATGTATGCCCAAAAGTTCATTGATCGAGGAAAAGATTTTAATCTAGAACTGGCAATTAAAACAAAAATCATAACTGACGGGCTAAGATACTCTCTGGCTACTGGAAACTGGGGTGACCAGAAAAAAGCTCATCTTGCCAGGGCAGGTGTCTCTCAGGTACACCATTGTTGTCATTTAATTTTTTCTAGGCTAGTTAGCTATCTTAATAAAATTAATCTACTAACAAAAGTTTTTGTTTCACTTTTCTTTAGGTGTTAAACAGACTGACTTTTGCGTCAACTCTTTCACATCTCCGCCGTGTAAATTCTCCTATTGGTCGTGATGGCAAACTTGCCAAACCTCGTCAGCTTCACAATACTCTTTGGGGTATGGCATATATATTTCTTAAGTACTACATTACTGATTAACTGTCAATTCCAACCAGACTTTTATAAATGTATTTTATTTTAGGAATGGTGTGTCCTGCGGAAACACCAGAAGGTGCTGCTGTAGGTCTTGTCAAAAATTTGGCTCTTATGGCTTACATTTCTGTTGGATCTCAACCATCTCCAATTTTGGAGTTCTTGGAGGAGTGGAGTATGGAAAATTTGGAAGAAATTGCTCCTTCAGCTATTGCTGATGCCACCAAAATATTTGTAAATGGTTGTTGGGTAAGTCCAGCTGCACTGAAATTAATTTAGTTTTAATGTAAAAAAATGAAGGAATGTAAATCATATATTTTTTGTAGGTTGGTATTCACAGAGATCCAGAACAGCTCATGGCAACTCTCAGAAAGCTTAGACGTCAGATGGACATCATTGTATCTGAAGTATCTATGATCAGAGATATCAGAGATCGTGAAATCCGTATCTACACTGATGCAGGACGCATTTGTAGGCCTCTGCTGATTGTAGAAAATGGTCAACTTTTATTGAAAAAGAGAAACATTGATCAGCTGAAGGAGAGAGATTACAACAATTATGGGTAGGCTGTGTAAATTTTGTTTTTAAAAGTGAATATGTGCTTCATGTCAATTTTTAAATTTCAAGTTTTAACTTTGTTTTTTTTTCCTCTATTAATTTTTCTGTAGCTGGCAGATGCTGGTTGCAAGTGGAGTGGTAGAATACATTGACACACTAGAAGAAGAAACTGTTATGATAGCAATGTCTCCAGATGACTTGCGACAGGACAAAGAATATGCATACTGCACAACATATACGCATTGTGAAATTCATCCCGCCATGATCTTAGGAGTTTGTGCATCCATCATTCCCTTCCCTGATCACAACCAGAGCCCTCGTAATACTTATCAGGTAATCAATCGATCTATTGTATTTTCTTCTATTTTGAAACTTGAATCATCAATCTTTATTCGTTTATTATATTTTTTTACATCTCACAGAGTGCTATGGGTAAGCAAGCCATGGGTGTTTATATTACAAATTACCATGTCCGGATGGACACTCTTGCCCATGTGCTTTATTATCCCCACAAACCTTTGGTGACAACACGCTCCATGGAGTATTTACGTTTCCGAGAACTTCCTGCTGGCATCAACTCAATTGTAGCAATTTTGTGTTACACTGGTTATAATCAGGAAGACAGTGTTATTCTGAATGCCACCGCTGTTGAAAGAGGCTTTTTCCGGTCTGTCTTTTATCGTTCATACAAAGATGCTGAATCGAAAAGGATAGGAGACCAGGAAGAGCAGTTTGAAAAACCCAACCGGAACAATTGCCAAGTAAGTAATTTACTTCAATGTTAAATACATTAGCTAGACCACTAAACATTCAAAGACTAATTATTACTTACTGTGGTCATTTTTAGGGTATGAGAAATGCCATCTATGATAAATTGGATGATGATGGTATTATTGCACCAGGCTTGCGTGTATCAGGAGATGATGTAGTTATTGGGAAGACAATTACTCTTCCTGAAACTGATGATGATGTAAGCATTTCTTGTGTTGGTCTTTTCCTGTATCTATTATTTTAATTTTTTTCACATTTATTATTTATTAACACTCATCGTTTGAACTTTATAGCTGGATGGTACCACACGCCGTCACACAAAGCGAGATGCAAGCACTTTTCTACGTAATAGTGAAACTGGTATTGTTGACCAGGTCATGCTCACATTAAATTCTGAAGGCTACAAATTCTGTAAAATAAGAGTGAGGTCAGTTCGTATTCCTCAAATTGGTGACAAATTTGCCTCTCGGCATGGACAGAAAGGTACATGTGGAGTGCAGTACCGTCAAGAGGTAAGACCCTTTTTCTTTACTGGTTCTAATCCACCTAAGGTAGTTGTCTATATCAAGTATATATTCCTTAATTTTTATTTTATTTTCAAGGACATGCCATTTACTTGTGAAGGACTCACTCCAGACATTATAATTAATCCCCATGCCATTCCCTCAAGAATGACAATTGGCCATTTGATTGAATGTTTGCAGGGCAAGGTCAGTAAGCCTCTACTGTTTTCTTTTTAAAAACTTCAAATATCTGTTCCAAACCATCTACATACTGTGCTTTTTTTAAATTTTGCTCTCCAGGTCTCTTCTAACAAGGGTGAAATTGGTGATGCTACTCCTTTCAATGATGCTGTAAATGTACAAAAAATTTCTCAACTTCTTCAAGACTATGGTTATCATCTGAGAGGTAATGAAGTTATGTACAATGGACACACTGGACGTAAAATCAATGCCCAGGTCTTTTTGGGACCCACATATTACCAACGTCTTAAACACATGGTGGATGACAAGATTCACTCGAGGGCACGTGGACCTGTCCAAATCTTAGTCCGTCAGCCTATGGAGGGCAGAGCTCGGTAGGAACATCTTATAGTAATTCAATTACTACATTCATTTGTATTCCTGAATCACACTCTATTTTTTAAATCTTTATTAACAGTGATGGTGGGCTTCGTTTTGGTGAGATGGAGCGAGATTGTCAAATTGCCCATGGTGCAGCTCAGTTCCTGAGGGAACGTTTGTTTGAGGTCTCTGATCCATACCGCATTCATGTCTGCAATTTCTGTGGTTTAATAGCAATAGCAAATCTTCGGAACAATACTTTCGAGTGCAAAGGATGCAAAAACAAAACACAGGTAAGATGAAAAATCTGTGTCCTGTTGTATCATATCTTGCAGTATTTCCATTCAGACATTAATATGTTCTCAATTTTCTATCTGTTTCAGATATCTCAAGTACGCTTACCATATGCAGCAAAATTATTATTCCAAGAACTGATGTCCATGAATATTGCCCCTAGACTTATGGTCACGTAAATGTAGACATTTTTAATTTTTTTTCACTCTGTTTGGATTTGTTTTTTCCAGCCTAGTGACAGAAATATATCTGGATCCTAGTGTAAATAGCTATTGAGAATTTCATTGTTAGTTTTGCAATGTCCCCTCTTTTTGAGGAACTATGTTGTACAGAGTTTTTTTAATTTAAATAAATTAGTTGTAAGGCATATTGAGTTTTTTTTCTTCTATTGTTGTAAGTTCTTGACAGCCTCTAGAGGCTAGATAGCACCTCAAGGCTCACAAGGCTTACTGGTTCCTTGACAAAAGAACCGTATCGCCAAAAAATAGCGTGCAAGACCGAACAACCGCCTAGTAGTTAGACAACCAATCGTGCGCAAGGCGCGTTGCTAATGCCTATCTACCGGGTGTCTGTTACACCTGAAACACCGATCCATGGAATTCTTCCATTTTCATACTGCAATTCCTTGATGGCTCTTGCGCGGATTTTAGTGTGCAATGCAACCATCTTCGGCTCTACAGAAGGAATTTAAATCCCAACTGAAACTTTCGACAAACTGTGTAGAGCCGTGAGTTGTGACACGGCGGGGCGTGAGAACCAGTAGCCCGCGACTTGTGAGGACAGAAACAAGCAGGGGGCGGAGACAGGGGGAAAGGCAGGGTGTCCACTCACCGGGAAATTCCGGGAAACCGGGAATTAGCCGGGAATTTTGTAGTGCCGGGAAAAACCGGGAATAAGCCGGGAATTTGACGAGCCCTCCGGGAAAAATTCAAATTGCCATGACAAACGGTCTACTGTCTATTATTGTGGGTTAACTGTATACACTTTCATAAGCGCACTTGTAGTACAATAACATTCAATTTTTTGCGCTTGCTTCGTTCGCGAGTACAATAGACCCTATTCGGTCTCGGCTCCGGGAGAAGAAAACAGGAATCCCTACCGGAACCAGTACCCTTATCCTGCCATATTATCGCGAGAAAATTTGAAAGACTGCTTTAAAAAATTATTATAAACATTCTGGATTGTACCTCTATCCACCAAAGCCATTTAAATGTTAAAATAGCGTGATTTTTTGTAACTGGTTCCGGTCGGGGTTCTTGTTTTCTTCTCTTTGAGCCGAGACCGAATAGGGTCTATTGCTTTCGACAGCTCGTAGGAAGATTCCTTCATTCAAATAACCAAAGCAAACATACACAGAATGCCCATATCTTTCATTTAAGGGGGCATCCTAGTGTAGCGAGCCTAAAATAGGGGTGGTTTGCGTAATTAATTGTAGAGAACCTATAGGTTTAGGAACAAAACCGAGTATACCGTTTTGTAGCGCATACTTTTGACTATAAAACACAATGTGTATGACGTCGATACGCCTACTCAAAGTTGAGATATCCCCTGTTTAAAACGGCACTGCAGCATTGTCGTCTTTTCATGGTGTACCGGATTCCGGCCACACCGTTGGGCCGTTGAGGTTCCGATTTTTCGTGGATGATCCTAACACTTGTAGGTATGGCGTGAACTAGGATATCTGGAATCGGTCACCTCCTGCATCCCGAAAAAAATCAAAAGTATGAGAGTTTTAGCTTTTTCTTCGATAAATCAACTTAAAGCTCCTCGAAAAAATAGTAAAAATTATCCGATCGCAAATATCCTAGTTCATGCCATAACTACGTTCATACAGAGTCTAAAAATTCTTTGTTGGACTGTGTGTGACCAACGGCTCGACTTTAACTAGGTACACCATGA